TTATACCTCTATTTGATCATTTTCACCTTAGACTTATTTGAACCGCTTTTTCATTTAATGTAAAAGATGCCATGCAGTGTTTTCCTAAACTATACAAAGCATTGCATCACATATCTGCTAAACCTGTTGAAAATAGCTTTAACAATTTAGAGACCCATACAAAATATATTACATTTGTAAGATTTTTTAATGCTTTCAATTAAGAAATGAATATCACCTTAAATTTGAAATCAGTCCATCCTCATTATTTTATATCAATATAAGTGCACTGTGAATATTTATATAACACAGTATGAAAAGATGTTTGGTGGGCAGGTTTATGTGTGATTTACTATAAATTTTTTTACATTACCTGGTTTCATGTAAAATAAAAAATTTTGGCAAATGGTTCCTCAACTCTTCTTAGCATTTAAAAAATTACAAAATTGCTCTTTTTCCTATTTCATGCTAAACTATAATTTTTTTAAAGATAAAACATGGTTAGGTTTTATATATGTGTGTTTGTATATATATGTGTGTATGTTTGTTCAGTAATGTCTACTCATGACTTTTTATCAATAAAAAACCATATTTGAAACTAAGAGCTTATTAAGTGTAAGCTTGAAGTAAAATTAGACTTATCTTTTCATGAGGATTACTACTCATAGTGATTATGAAATATCACCCTTACCAAGGCACTGTCATACTAATATTTAAATTATGTAATTACCAAATTTATTACACCTAATGATACAGTACAGTTACAGTGCAAAATTGGAATTAGAATAACATGGAAACAAACAGGTTTGAACATAAATACATACACTTAATGCGGATGAAAATGCGAGACTCACTTTAGCTTTTTGACTGTTACCTAGTTTGCAAACAATTTAAGTTACTTGCGGGATGTTTCTAAATGCTGATTGTTGAAAATCTCAATTCAAAATGTTTAGCACGATTTTATAGAGTTTTATAGCTTTATTAAAAGAGTGAAAATAAAATGCATATGTAAATAAAGCAGTTCTAAATAGCAATCTCAGAGAAATGTCAATGGCAGTAACGAAAGAAGGGCCAGCTACATTAGGATGGCCAGGTAATTGGGCTGGGTTTAGGACCTATGTATAGAGGCCACCAATTTTTTCTTAATATCCATGATATGCTATATTCTTGATGAAAACAATCAAGATTTGCTTCATGAAAATAAATTATTAGCCATGAATATAATAATGCCGTTTACATAGAATTCTTTACAAATTTCATAGATCCATGAATGCTAAAATGTTTGAGTTTGTCATAAATTATATTGTAGTTATACTTGAGACTTACACATTGTATTAATAATAGAATCTAAAAATAAAAATCATAAAATCATGTTTGCTTGTGTTTTCTGTTTCAGTGAGAATAACATTACAGGGGTAAATTCAGTGAGTTTCTGAGTAAGTCGCAGCAACCAATAGCTTTTTTTTTTAATTGAAAGATAGACAGCTTCAAATGTCCTCCATAAGAAGTGTTCCTGGATAAGAAAAATGAGGAAAAAAAATCCGGAGTTCCAATGCAATTCATTGAAATCCACCACAGGGTTTGTGCAAAAGGAGAAAATTTAGATAGGAAGTGAAGATACACAAACATTGAGCTACAAAATTATGAATACTTTTTTTGTGTAATAGCACTGAGAGGTAGTAGAGCATAAAGAATGGCTATAAGCTTGGCTTCTAGAACCAGAACTATATTTGGAGCCCAGCTAAGCCATGGCCCCCAGAGTTTACTGAATATATTATTTAACCTATATGAGCATCAGTTTTCCCATCTATAAAATACGAAGAGTACTGCTTCACAATATGGTTGTAGGGATAGAATGAGACAATCCACATGAAGAAATTAAAACAATGCTTGACAACACAGAATCAACAATTCATACTAGTAGTAGTAGTATAGCAGCCAATTTGCTAAGAGCCCAG